ACCTGACAGATTTCATGGCTGGTGTGACTAAGGCCTTAACTGTCTAATCAGCCTGATCAATGTGTTTGATGCAAAGGCATTGGAGTGTAGAAAAAACAAAAAGACAAAATGTTAGCAAAGAGAAGGCTTTATACAGAACGTTGAGATCATGGAGAGGCAATCATCATCTCCTGCCATGAACAGAACAACCAAAATCAGCACAGATGCAAATGCTCCTTGTTAGAGGAGTTTCTGTTTGTTTTTGTCTTTTATGGTGGATTTCATCTGTATGGTTTTCTACATACTTTAAGCAATTCAAACAAAATTATATAATACTTGTGCTTAACTCAAAGGTCTTTTATATACCCTAACATGCATGTCTGTAATGGTTTTGAGCAAAGCAGAAAAATTATTTTATGCAAGGCTCGGAAAATTATATTTGAAGTTCACTTTCTGTACTATCTGTCAAAATTATCTTTAACATTCATTCCAAAAACATCACTTGTTATTGCACCAATAGAAAACAACCACAAAGAAAATGTTCCATTCAGTCGACCAATCATAACTTCCACTTCCTTTAATGGAAAAATCTGCTTGGGTCGTGGCATTTGTCAGTAAGACTTGTTGAGCTGCCTTTTAACTCCTGTTCATTATCACACATGGATATGATGCATGTTTTTCTCATTATTCTTTTTGGTAATTAATGTGATCATTTTCAAGATTTATTGATATTTCGTCCTATTTGACATTGAACTAATGTTGTAAAATATGTCTGTTTTATTGTGATTTTGTATAAAGCTGTGCATGTTTTAACCTCTTCTAATGTTTTTGTGTATAGGTCCCGTAGGAGCTTTAACTTCTAGTCATAATTTGAACAGTGGAACAGTGTTGGAGATGATGGTCAGACCAGGAGAAAACATAACTCTCTACTGTGACTGTAAAACTTCAACTGGAGAATTCATAGTGTGGTACAGGAATTGCTCTCATGAGAAACAACCTTCTCTTGTTCTAAAAACAAAGCTTGAGCAAAGACAATATAAACCAGGTATTGATTACCAAAACTTTCTAAATCCATTCCCTAATTTCCATCTTGTGAAAAATCATTCCTCTCAATCCTATGACCTGCTGATCACAAACATCACTGATTCGGATGAGGGCTTCTACTACTGTGGAACTGAACAGTCTAAGGTGAAGGAAAAAGAAACTATTAATCTTGAATGCCTTTATAAATATGGAAACCTCACCACAAAGATCCTACTTTGTAAGTATTCTAGTGTGAGTCATCAATAAATGATCTGTCTGCTTATTACAACAATTTAACATGAATATAATGGTAAAAATACAAATACAGAAATAAACAAACATAGAAATAAAACAAATGTTTATGTTTAATAATTTTTTAAGATATATTCTTCCTTCAGAATAATTTGCCAGGCTTTTACTACAGCTTCATCTATTTTGCTTGCTTCATTGTAAGAAAAATAGGTATTCAGGTGACTGAAACAGACACTGCAGGATATTCTTTTTCTTAATTTTCAAAAACTACTGGGTGCCTATTATTATATGTTATAGTTCATTTTCCTTCTGTACTACCTTTGGCTGAATCTGAGCAGAAAGTTCATTGCTATATGTTTCACATGTTTGTCATTCTGGTACAGGTTGGTCTTTGTAATGCAACTAACAACGTCATACTTAAAATTATCCCCAGATCTTCTACCTGAATAATTTAGGGGGAAAAAAGACTAATTTCAAAGCTTTTTTTACTCAGACCCCCGTGAGCCTCAAACCACGCAAAAAGACTGTGGTATATGCTGGATGCTGCTCTTCTCTCTGTGTCCAGCTTTTGTGGCCCTCTCATCTCTGCTATGTTCTCTTTTGATATATTACCATCACAAGACAGGTAACCGCTCTGTGTCATTTGTACAACAAGATTTTTCATCACTTTAGTTCCATGATCATTTGACCATCACAGAGTTTTGTCTAGTAAAAGAAAAGAGCCTTTGTACATTTTACATTTTTTTTAAAAGGTCCGAACCAAAAAAACCCCCGCCGAAGAAAAAAAAAAAGAAAACAAAAAACAAAAGAAAAAAAAACAAGGCAAAAAACAAAATTAATGGCCTTTCCAAAACCTGAATTTTTTTATAGTAATGACACAAAGCTATTTAGCTCTAAAATGCATTTATCATTTGTCAGTGCTTGATGATAATTCTAAATAATTATGAAATTTTAGAATGAAGATGTGTGTTATGCAGCACTGGAAATCCAGCCAGTATCTCAGAGACCAAAGAAGAGGATCGCCCAGAGTTCAGATTTCAGTGCCTACACAACCATGAATAGTTTTCACATGTAATGAACTCTTTTTTTCCTCAGTATGCTTACTAAGTATTGTTGATAAGTAGTCTGTGCTACCAGATCTGATAAGAAAAGATTATGTAAGATTATGGTCTTTTTCCCCAAAAAATCAATGTAAGGAAGTCATTACCTCCACAAGAATTCTAATGCTTAGATATTTAAAAATAATAAATATTTACTGTGTTAGCAAAGTTTTTAAAATTGTGACTTGGTATTATAGTCATTAACTTGGAAATATCATTTTAACTTCTTAATCCTCCTATAACAAACCCTTAGTATTTATGTGATCATTGTAATACGTCTATGTGCTGTGCTTTAAAACAGTGAATTTTCAGATACACTGTAGGCTACAATATTTTTAAAACCTAATAAAGTTCATTAAAATGTAACCTATTTTAATTGTGAATATTTTGCATTTCCATTACTGATCGACAGCCTACCGTGAATGATTTGACTCACACAAAAAAGAATATAAAACAAAAGGCCCAGGCCAAAAGAAATTTAACATACTATCATACCAGTTGTATTAATTTCTAAATGGTTCTTTTACAGATTCATATATACTACTCAGAAAACCTACAGTTTTTGGACATTTTTGTGTCATTTTGAAGACTAATAGATATCTATGTTAATTTAACATTTCATATCCAACTCTACCATTTGGTGCTGTGTGTATAGAGGGAGATGTGCTGAACCACCATCTTGCACTGCATTAAGCACCACATCTGTCCTCATCCGCACCTATCTGCTTGATAGTGTTGCTTTCAGATTTGTCCAAGTGGCTTTGTTGGCCTACCTTGTGGTTATGATGTGGTTGGGGACAGGATGGCCCTTGGCAAACATGGTTCAACTACAAACATTATGTCTTAAATGGTCGTAGTATGATAGCAAGATCTGTACTCTAGATGAAATAGATTTTCAAGCACTTTCAGTCAAATGTTGTGCAAAGCAATAACATTTGATTGTCAACTAACTTTGAAAGGCAGAGCTTCTCAGAAGTAATGATTGGGGGAGGTTCACCAATCTAAAAAAATCTGCATCTACAAATTGTGGAACAATTTCCTCAATGTCCTCAATCCATAATATCACCCAGAGAGTCTAAGAATATGTGGAAAGTTCTATACACACATGAAAATGCTTAAAATAAATATTGATTGCCAACGATCTTTAGGCAGCATTACATTAAGAACAGGCATAATTCTATTATGGAAATCATCGTAAGGGGTCAGGAACACTTCCAGAAATTATTGTCTATTAGCACAATTCGCAGTGCCATCCACAAATGCAGATTAAAACTTCTCTATATCAAAGCTCATTTAATATTAACTGATGCAAAATTCTTCTATAGTCAGATGAATTAAAGTTTGCAATCATTTTTGGAAAACATGAACACAACATCCTCCAGACTAACAAGGATAGGGAGATGGACAGTTAAGCTGATAGGACATCCAAAGTTATAAGATCTTGCTCTTAGTCTAAACTCAAACATGCTGCTCCAGAACCATGTACTAAAAAGGAAGTTCAGCACAGCTAAGTTATTTTTACGTTTTCTGGATTCACTTACCCTGATATTGACAGTCAGGATAACTGGTCACATGAAGCAGTTTAATAACTCGTTAACTTAACCCAGGGTTTCCCATACACATTCACATGAAATAGGTGGTGTTGATAAGTGTACTGGCAACAAAGTGGCTGATTTTACAAAGAAAGATAAAACTATACTATGAGAAAAATATGAAGCGATTAAGCACATAACACCAATTTAAATTAGTACTGCTGCTGTAGATAAATTAGTGACATGAGTGTATGTTGCAGACTGGAAAAGAGTTGATATATTGATGAAGTTTAGCTAATTTAAAGGCAGGATTGATAGCTAGCAAAACATAACATTTATTAACGACAACTCTATCATTAAGACACAAGAAATTCTGAAGCACTATAATTAATATTTTGTTAAATTAATGTTTAAAAGACAGGCTTAGTTGTTATTCTTTCAGCGTCAACCTCACTGCTCTTTGTTGGTCTGAGAGCACATATTGATTAATATTATTATAAAAACAAATGTATGCTTAGTCTGCATGTAAATTGGATGTAATGTCAGCAAGTAAATATAGCTCCTCTGTTTTAGGATCCTATATTTATGGTTATAGAACAATAAAATTGTTTTTAAAATTGCTTGCAGCCAACAGTAATGTTAAAAAATGTAAAAATCAAGTTGTTTATTAAGTTGTTTTTTAAGAATTTATATGTCTCATGATTCATCAGGGAAATGCAAAGTAGGTTTGGAAATTGCAGGTTATGTGGCCCTGAAGTGAACTTAACATTACAGACCTACCACATAGGAACAAAGGACATTTTATTATAATAACAATTACAGGACAATGTTATAATATTAGTTTTTCAAGTGTTTTTATGTGTGCTTTACAAAAACAGACTAAAACTTATTTCAACACATATTTCAGATGATCAAATCCATTTGAATACTACAGAAAGCTAACACGAGTGAATTCAAAATGCAATGTCTTGATGCATGCTCAATCATCCAGGTAAGTAAATCTCCAAAAGTTGATTCTGTTCATCTGAATGTAACGTTTTCAGTGGGGGAAACGTTTCATCACTCATCCAAGTGACTTCGTCAGTCTACAGTCAAAATGCAATGTGAAAAAGTTATCAGGCCCTAACTCAAAAAGTCATTTTCCCCTTAACCTAATAACTGGTTGTGCCATCCTTGGCAGCAAGATATATATAAATAAATTACTTAAATCCATCTACAACAGTGGTTAGGATGGCTTTTTGTTTACAACAATTCATGATGCCTATTTTTAACTAATTTTCTGTGTTTTGTCTCATGTTACCAATCAGCTATTATCTTTAACAGAATGAAACACTGTAGCTAAGTTTATAATGAGAAAGGTTTGTTTCAAGGACATAATACAAAGAATAAATAATACTTTCTCTGTCTTGAAGCTACAACAATACAACTCTGACAGTAAAGTCAACCTCAGCCTCCTCGTCAGCCGTCAAACAGGAAACCCACAACATCAAAAAGCCCCTTACAGAGTTAAAAAAATTCCCTTGCAGAGAGTTTGACATGCATTATAGTGTACAGTTTGATTTGCTTGACATTTTATATTGAAAATATATTTTGAGAACAGAGCAAAAGTATTT